GTTCTATGTGTTGTTGGTTAGAGTTTTGATGTGATTAATATACATGACTGCAGAGGATATTGTGAATTTGATCGTGGAATCCGGGGCCGTTCCAGCGCTTGTACACCATCTTCAAGCGCCACAGTCAAAAGAAGTCGTTGCAGGACCAAGGCCATATGAGCATGAGGTGGAGAAGGGAAGTGCTTTTACCCTAGGACTTCTGGCTATAAAGGTAATTATCAAGAGAAGCTAGATTCTTCATCATTGTTGCATGACCTATATCGTTGTGTTTGGCACTTTGGCTGGACTAGTGGATTATTTTCTTCGAACTTGTAACATGGAATATTGAAGATGTGCGCACTTGGAACTCCCCCTTCAATCATGCTTAGTTTTGTATGCTTTTTACTTGAGCATTTTCATGTGGTTTTTATTTAAAAACGACAGTGTCACCACTAAATAGTTCAGTTGCGTTTTCACATGCATATTTTTATGGAACACAATACAGTTGGGGCATGGGACGAACTTGCAGATGCAGCATATCTTTTATTTACTATTTAGAAGAAATAGTATCCAACATATATCAGTTAGGCTTGCTATTGAGAGAAACCAACACTGAAAGAAGATATTTTAACACCTCATGCTTAAATTGCTTTTCATGATTGTTTAGTTCCCCTCCTGAAGAGCATCTGACACTATGATTCCCATGACTCACTCAATTACAATTGATTAAAGTGGTTAGGGGCCGCCAGTTATTTATTTATTTATTTACTTATAATTACAGTTCTTTTCTTTTATCAAATTGTAATGATGTATTGGGGTTATCCTCTAGGCTACCAGGCTGATAAAACAGCAGATAGTAAATCATTTATCTATATAAGTTTCCTTTTTGACTAGATTTTAAGATGTTATTTTTATGAGCATTTACTCCATTGCATCTTTACCTTTTTCTGTCTAACTTCAATTCAAAGCGATGATCTACATCAGCTTCCAAGAACTATATCCGAAGTTTGATAGATTGTAATGATTACACAATACACATGGTCACTAAAGGGGTACTACTTTTGGTGATTTCTGGTGTTAACAGCCAGAGCATCAACAACTCGTTGTCGATGCTGGAGCTCTGCCTCATCTTGTTGCTCTCCTTAAGCGACACAGGGATGGCCAGAACTCCAGAGCAGTCAATGGTGTTATAAGGAGAGCAGCAGATGCAATCACAAACCTTGCTCACGAGAATAGCAGCATCAAGACCCGTGTTAGGTCAGTTCTTTTGTACCCTTTTCTGTTACAGTTTTGGGTGTTTCAGTTTGTTTGACATCACATTTTTATGTTCAGGGTTGAAGGTGGAATCCCTCCTCTTGTTGAATTGCTTGAATTCATTGATGCAAAGGTGCAGAGAGCTGCTGCAGGAGCCCTACGTACCTTAGCTTTCAAAAATGATGAAAACAAAACTCAGGTTGAACGATTGATATAAAATGTGTTTTAGGGATTGTTTGGACAAAGTTTTCTAACCTTAGAACCTTGCCATGTATGCAGATAGTGGACTGTAATGCTTTGCCTACTCTTATTCTAATGCTGCGGTCTGAAGATGCTGCAATACACTATGAAGCAGTTAGTTCTAGTTTTTAAATTCACTTTTTTTCTTTTCATCTCATAAGATTGCTTGTATCTAGGAATGATTTCTGAATGGTATATATCTCAGGTTGGTGTGATCGGTAATCTTGTCCATTCATCCCCCAACATTAAGAAGGAAGTTCTTCTTGCTGGAGCATTACAACCTGTAATTGAATTGCTCAGGTAACGTGATACATACCTTTAAAGGGCTGCGTTGAAAACTGCAAGTTCTGTCTATGCCTAAAACTATCCTGTTGGAACTCTATATGTCGCCTACTCATAAGATCAGCCTTCAAATATCAAACAAAATTGGCTTATTTTGATAGCAAAGTAACAATTTGTTGAAAACTACAACAATTTTAATTCTTGTATTAATTTTACAGTTCAAGCTGTCCAGAGAGTCAAAGGGAAGCTGCCCTATTGCTTGGACAGTTTGCTGCTGCCGATACAGACTGCAAGGTTTGACCAAAATGTTATTTCATTTATTATCATTTATCACTTGATTTCCATTTCTATATTTTTATTCATATGTCTTGTCTACTACCAACCCTAACAACACACGCTCATAAATCTTTTCATAGGTTCACATAGTGCAAAGAGGCGCTGTTGGTCCACTAATTGAGATGCTGCAGTCACCAGATGCTCAACTACGTGAAATGTCGGCTTTTGCTCTAGGAAGGTTGGCACAGGTAACCAAATTATATATATTTATTTAATCACTTAAATTCACGAATCTTTATTTTATTAAAATATATCATAGATTTGTAAGTTGTCACTAGCATCTACGTATATGTGCGGGTTTCCATGCATGCAAGTGTTGTAATTAATGCTCCAATTTTAGTAATAGCAGTCATAAATATAATTACACACACTGATAACCTTCCATAGTAAAAAGATGTTTATTTTAGGGTAATTTATAATAGAATGATTGTGATCTACCTATCACCAGGATACTCACAACCAAGCTGGTATTGCACATGGTGGTGGTATACCCCCATTGCTGAAACTTCTTGATTCTAGAAATGGTTCCTTGCAACACAATGCTGCGTTTGCTCTCTACGGTCTTGCTGATAATGAGGTAATACCATGTTAATTCTTATTATCAGAACTACTATAATCCCCTGAACTGAAGATTCCTATTATATGATCTTTTCCGTAAGTAACTTTCTGTTGAAATAAATCCCTTTTATTTTAGGATAATGTTGCTGATCTTATAAGGGTTGGTGGGGTACAAAAGTTGCAGGATGGTGAATTCATCGTTCAAGTAAGTTTGTTATCTTTTGCAGTTCCTTAGAATTTTTTTTTTTTTTAATTTTATTTTAATCATTTGCTTGGAATAATAAGGAATCATTTGACATGATATGATTTTGCAGCCAACACGGGATTGTGTAGCAAAGACATTGAAAAGGCTAGAGGAGAAGATTCATGGACGGGTAATTAGTTATCTTAACTACTTGATCCTTTTTTGCAAAAGATATTAATTTGTATTATTGTTCTTGTCCTCAGGTATTGAGCCATTTGTTGTACCTGATGCGGATTGCTGAGAGATCTGTTCAGAGACGAGTTGCTTTGGCTCTTGCTCACCTTTGTTCACCTGATGACCAGAAAACAATATTCGTTGATGGCAATGGTAAAATTTTAATCGTCTTTTTTAACTCTTGATATTTATTTAGTGATGATTTGTATTTTACCTTTTCTGGATGGATAAATTTCGCAGGACTTGGCATACTTTTGGAGCTTTTGGAATCAACCAATTTGAAGCATCAACGAGATAGTTGTGTGGCCTTGTGCAAGTTGGCTGAAAAAGCTAGCTCACTTTCCCCTGTTGATGCGGGACCACCATCTCCAATATCTCAGGTTTTTATCTTTGTTTTTTTTGAAGTTTTGTCTAAATTTTAAACTATAATCGAAAGTGAAGTTTTTATACTTTGTGATGTAGGTATATTTGGGTGAGCAGTATGTCAACAGTCCTACACTCTCTGATGTAACATTCCTAATCGAAGGTGGAAACTATCTTTTTTTTTTTTTTTTTTTCCAAAAAAAAAAGAAAGGTTTAGTTCTATTTTAGCATTTGTTGAGCCTGACAATATATATATATATATATATATATATATATATATTTATAATATCTTCAGGCAAACGCTTCTACGCTCACAGAATTTGTCTCCTTGCTTCTTCTGATGCATTCCGAGCGATGTTTGATGGCGGATACAGAGTGAGTGGCATTAAGTATTTGTTTGTTTTTGTCAACTTTTCAATCCATTTGGTTATATAGTTTTTCAATGATGATTTTTATATCCATTTTAGGAGAAAGATGCGAAAGACATCGAAATTCCAAATATTAGATGGGATGTCTTTGAATTAATGATGAGGTTCATCTGTCTATAATCTATATCTTGCCTTTGATTTCAGTTATTGTACAGGATTTTTAATATATATTATATTATGTTACAGATATATATACACGGGGTCAGTAGATGTCAATTTGGAAATTGCACAGGATCTTCTTCGAGCTGCAGATCAATATCTTCTTGAGGGGCTGAAACGTCTTTGTGAGTACACCATTGCACAGGTGAGTGACAGCTTGATTATTATACTCTCTAAATAGTAAATTCATTATATCAAGAATAATATAAATATAAATATTATTTTATCAGGATATACTGGTGGACAATGTATCAGTTATGTACGACCTATCTGAGGCCTTCAATGCTGTGTCACTAAGGAATGCATGCATTCTATTTGTGCTCGAGAATTTCGACAAGTTAAATGCTAAACCAGGGTACAACATATTAATTAATTTCAATTTCTTTCGTGCTCCTTTTAGATTTTGGAAAGTTTGACTGAGTTGACTGAAATGGTAAAAAAAATGAATTAGGTACGGGGGTTTGATCCAGCGTATAATGCCAGAGATGCGTAATTACTTTGTGAGGACACTTGGAAGACCCGTGGAAGCTGACATGCGACAGTAGGCGATTGAGTTTCAAATTTTTTGATCAATTGATTTTTAACCAAACCTAGATGAAAAAAAAAAACAAGGAAGAAGAGAGGATGTACAGAAAGTCAAGTGGTTTAGGTTTCATTTGTCGAAAAGAAAAAAAAAAGGTGGCGACTTCTGTTTTGAGATTGGAACTTTGACAACCAACCTGGTGGCAGTTGTTTTAGTAGATGGGAGGGAATGCTTGCTTGCTTGTTGTGCCAAATGTTGTTTGACATGCATTGCATGTACTGCTCTACTACTCTTATCAACTGTTGTTTATCTTACTATATATAATATATATATATATTCTTCTCTTCTAATCATGAATTTCATCTCTTGCTTCCCCATCTTTTATTTCGGAAACAAAACTTGAGTTATTGACGACACACCCAAACGGATGAAATTGAATAATAGTTTTAAAAAATTTAAACAAGGCTTTCCACTCGTGTTTTTCACTCACACATAACATCACTCTAATACAATAACACCAAACTTGCACTTCAATATGTGCATAGGAATCCCAAAAAATTTATTCCTTAACTTCTACCCCAGTTTTAATACAACCAACAAAAAAAAAAAAAAAAAACATTTCTAAGCCTAAACTCTCTACCTATATGATATGTATTTCAGCTGTTGCATAAGAACCAGAGTCATTATCAGTGGTGGACCAGTTCTCCTTGAGTCCACAAGCAGCATGAATCACACGTGGCAGTCTTTCCACCTGAAGCACTTCCTTTTCCTTTTCCAATTCAGAACAATATTTCCCAAACGTACCGACACTTACATGGAGCCGAAAGTCAAGACCAAATAGGAATTTCATTTCCAATCTGTTCAATTCTGCTGTTGTCACTCCTCCCACTTTAGCATAATACGCATTGTTGTAGAATCTGCACATAAAATCCAAACCTCAGAAATACAACACAACTATACATACATATTTAAACTAAAAAGGGTTACAACCAAAAAGACTTGACTTACGCATCATCAATGAACTTTGCAGCAAGCATGACACTGGTGATAAGAAGGCGATGAACACTAAGAGACGTCAAATTAACATTTCCACAATGAATAAACCGATCTATATACACCTGTGCAACAACGAAACATGAAGGGCTGCAGCTTGAGTATTTAAAGATGCGATCAATGTACTCTTTGATGCTAAGTGTAGGGGCTCTTGAACCATGAAAAGCTGTAACAACATCTTTGGTTTGTGTTGCCTCGAGAAGGGCCTCGTTCTTTATTATAGATCTTTCAAGAAGTGAAGAAAGGAGGGATAGAACTTTTGGGTTTCCTGGATTTTGCTTGTATGTTTCTTTGAGTCCGAGATTGCGGTATGTTTTTGGGCCCGGGATATCATTTTCAAACCCTAAGGATCCCATACTCACACAAAGCTGCATGGATAAAGTGTTGTCTGTTTAAAATTATTTTATAAAATGACATCATGATTTGGCAAAATGGAAGAAAAAGGTTTTGTAAAAAATTACAACATAGCAAGGAAGGCCTACGTTCCCTAACTTTCTCTATTAAGTCTTTCCACATTAAGTAAAAAAGAAACAACAGTGGAATACAACTTATGGAGAATCAATGAAACACGTAATCATGTGTGATTCTTCATTTTGCTTCGGTTACATGTGACATTGAGTAGGCAAATATTAAACCAAATAGGGTATCATTTAATGACCAAACTATTCGGCGAAGGGTTATCAACACTATGAATACAAGATGCGCCAAAATGAAAAATTAATAACAAAAAAAAAAAAAAAAAAAAATTAAAAATTAAGTCAAACATGTTAACAGGCTAAGAGAATATTAACAAAACAAAAGACAACATCTCCTGTACACATAAAGACACCAAAAGGACAAGACAATTTTTGTAGGAAACAAATGTCTGTAAATATGTTAGTACACAATTTAAATACTTTTCACCCCTAAAGAAAATTTTGGTCAAACTGTAAAATTGGGTTAATGAGTTATTCATATTACCAAATCATGCATCGAAGTGGATATATGCAACCGTGGTCAAATTTGTTACAAAGGAATTACCAATTTATGCATGAACAGATGAGAAATCCATTTTGTTGTATAAATTGGTAATAAGATATTGACCCTTTGTAAACTTTTCCCCAAAGGTCAACACTCTTTGCTTCTTTACATCCCAAGAGTCAAGATACCCCTTGAAGGACATCAAAATCAAATGCAAAAGATAACTAAAATTCAATTGCTTGGGTTTATAATCAGAGAGTAAAACCAATGAGAAATTAACGATAATTAGATTGATTTCTAGTAGCAACAATAACAAAACCAACAAATTTATATGTTCATAAATATCCACCTACATTCTTTTCTGCCATGGACAATTTTTTTTTTTTTTTTTTTTTTTCTAGCTAAATGGATAAGGTGGTTAATTAGGTAGGTTTTTCTTTCCTTAACTACTAATACTAAGATCTGAAAAAAACAAACCAGATTTTAAGCTATCAGATATCTAGATCAGCCCTAATGGAAGAAATATTCAAGATCCATGTAGAATTACCACTAACCTGACGAACCCACAAACAAAATCCAGACTTCATGTCATATAAATTAGGTCGAAGAACAAATTTAGCTTCGAGACACAAAAATGAGAACAATTTAACAAAAACCCTTTAAAAGATTGAATCTGGATTGTAGGACAAATCCCTAAAGAAAAAGTTGGGAAATCCGAATAGAAAAACCCATGAAAGAATTATGACGAACACTTGGAGTTTGGAACTTACAGAGGAGGTTCCTGGAGCATCCATGGCGGCCACACCCAGAGGTCCAAGAATCTTCTACATGAGCAGCAACTGGGTGAATGTGAAAGTGAAAGTGAAAGTGAAACAATTCCTTTTTTTCAGAGAGAGAAAGATGTAAAGGACTAACAGACGTACAGCAGTTCTATCGCTGTCTGTCTTTCTCTCCCTTTCCTTTTCTGGTGATGTCACAAAGTAAATAATTTAGTGCTCTGATGAGTATACATACACGAGATTAAATGTATGATTTTATTGGTTTTTGAAGCAACGTATTAAAAATGGTAGTCGTACATGATAGTTCAATTGATATTGGTAATTCTTTGATTGATATGTGGGCTATGGATGGAAAGATACAGTTGGATGGATTATGATGGAAGCCATTATAGTGTCGGTCGTTTTTCTTTTCTCATAAAAATATAAAATCCGCCTAATAAAATTAGACTTTACACTCGAATCTAATTAGGAAGTTTTAGATTAGAGTCAAATCTTAATATATCCGCCTAATATACATAATTAGACTTTTCTCCTTTTCGAGCCCCAAAGATGATTATTCACACTCTTGAAGGCATTAGAAGGAGGTTATTATAGGGTGGCAACGAGGATAAAAAGAAAATTAATTGGGTCTTTTGGGAGGTTGTAATCAAGCGGAAAGACTTGGATGATCTTGGTGTTAGATGTCTCGATTCGACAAATTTAACTCTTTTTGCTAAATGGTGGTGGAGATTTAAAAACGAGTACGACTCCTTATTGTTCTCTTGTATCATATCCATGCATAACTTATTGTTTATTGATGAAAACCGTTGGCTAAGAAGTCAATAAAAGGAGTTTGGTTGAGTATCTCTCAAACTGATAAGAAATTTGAAGCTCATGGTATTTTTATTAATAACTTGTTTAAAAGGGTTGTCGGTATCGGGGACAAAACTGTCTTTTGGAAGGATTCTTGGTGTGGTTTTGAAGGTCAATTAGAGAATGGAGAGAGAATAAAAATTGCTTGCTTATGGATAGAATAAATATTAATAAGACAAAACTTCAAAAATGGTCGATGTGGTTTCCGAAAATATCAAGTTTAGTCCCTAAGTTCAAAAAACCTCACAGATGGTCCTTGTGGTTTCAAAACTTTTAACAAATGGTCCTTTTCGCTAACTCCGTTAGCTTTTGGCCGTTAAGTGAAGGGCATTTCTGTCATTTCACTACCACAGGGACCATTTATGAAGTTTTTGCCTTATTTAAAAAAAATATATATAATTATTTAATATTAAAGGGTCCCCCCTCTCTCTCTCTCTCTCTCTCTCTCTCTCTCTCTCTCTCTCTCTCTCTCCTAATCGGTCTTCCTTCCTTGAAATCGCAACCCTCATTCCCGATTCTCAACCCTAAGAGAACACAAATCAATAATCAACAAACCAAAACTCAAATCTATCACCAATAAATCGCTTATCCCCCTGAAATCTACTCAAAAATCTGCAAACATACGAAGGAAGACATTTTGATTGTTCGTGGTGGTTATTTCTATTTGTTAAGAAATCAATTCCACCGCCGGGAGATCCATTGTCGTTGTTGTGGTTGCCGGAATCTTTCTTGACGCCGAACGTCATCTTGTTGTTATGCATCCAGACTTTGAAAACCCCTTTATCGACCCCAATTTCGTTGCAGAATCCGATTATTAAGTCTTTGTCTCGCTTCTGCATCTTCCATCCGACTCGTTCAACTAATTTGTGTATCTTTTCTTTCTGATCTTGAGTGAATTTTGTTCGGAATCGTTTTTTCCCATTCGTGCATCTTTTCTTTCTCATATGTCGGAGAAGACATATCAGATGGGGGCAGGGGAGGGTAGCTGTTGGTCGGAGATAACATATAAATGGTGGTGGTGATTGTGCGTGGAAGAAGAGAAAGGGAAAAGGGCGAATCGGAAAAGCTGAAGCTCGAATTGGAATAATGGGAGTCTTCTTTGTCCGATAAAGATGCAGATTAGGCTCAACTGGAGCAGGGAAAAGAAATAGAGAGATTTCGATTCAATTAAAACATGAAACAGAGCTTTGAATCCTTATCTGATTTGGAATTTGAGGTTTGATTGATAACGAGATTCAAAACCCAGATGAAATCAAGCTTGTGGAAATTTGATTTGGAATTTGAATCTTGATCTGTTTAGGAAGAAGACGTACGAGAGAGAGAGAGAGAGAGAGGGTGGGACCCTTTAATATTAACTAATTATATTTTTTTCTTTTTTCTAAATAAGGCAAAAACTTCATAAATGGTCCCTGTGGTAGTGAAATGACAGAAATGCCCTTCACTTAACGGCCAAAAGCTAACGGAGTTAGCGAAAAGGACCATTTGTTAAAAGTTTTGAAACCACAGGGACCATCTGTGAGGTTTTTTGAACTTAGGGACTAAACATGATATTTTCGGAAACCACATGGACCATTTTTGAAGTTTTGTCTATTAATAATAATTTGAGCTCAAGGTGGAATTGGAGATGGTCAAGGCAAATTAGAAAAAGGGAGAGAGCAAAATCGATTCTCTGTCTTGAAAAGGTATGTGACTTACTTTCAATTCAATCAGGGTTGTGACAAATGGCTTTGGAATGGAGAAGGTGATAATCATGTTTTCTCAGTGAGGCTTTAAAAAACCTTATTGATGATCCGAGTGATGACAACGACTATAAATTCTCTTGGGTTAATTGGATTCCGATTAAGATAAACTGCTTCGCGTGGCGTATGTTGAAGAATTATATTCCTTTGTACACAAATCTCGTGAAGTGTGAGATAGCTGTGGATTCTACTACGTGTCCTTTCTGTCGTAGGTCTAATGAAAATCTTGATTATGTGTTTTTTTCCCGTTCTACTACTTCAGAACTGTGGGTGTGGCTTATAAATTGGTCTTCAACCCTCAATCATATTCTTGTTTTGTGTGTTGATCTTGTCGAGATGTTGGAGTTGAAGGATAGAAGCAAAAAGATAAGAAAGCTGAAGCTAAAGCTAGTGTATATGGTATTGTGGATGTTGTGGATTGAAAGAAATGTGATCGTTTTTCGGAAAAAGTGCGAGCAATTATACTTATTGCAGATGACATTAGTACCCGCACTTTTAATATTATCAAACATAGATCTAAGTTGAAAATGCTTGATTGATTTTATTGGTGTATATCTCTTATCTCTAACACTTTCTTGTAATCTCGTAGAGCTTCTTGCTTTAGCATGTTTTTTTTTTTTGCTAATATAATTGCTCGCCGTTCAAAAAAAACATAAATAAGGAATAAATAGGGATAAGTGCATGTGGAAATGAAATAAGGGCCAGGTATGTGTGAAAGCGGATACGGGGTATTGATCTCATAAATATGTTTTTAAAATTTGAGATTATTGAAATAAACAGTACAAATTTGAACTCGAACAATCTTAGATAAATTTAGACACAATAGTTGTTATATAGTGCATACTATTTTGTTGCCCCATATAGGCAAACTTGTAGCACCAACTATATTCGGTGGGTTAACGTATCCCACTAGGAATACGTTAAAGATAACAGAACTACTATATTTAGGACGACCTAGCTAACGGTCGCGAATCCGTCCTAGCGCCAGACCCGGGCCCTCGCCCTTTGCGTTGGGACCCTCATGCTTCGCGTCCTCACGCAAAGGTCCAATTCCTGACGAAAATCTCCGGTCTATAATAAGACAAAACAAAGTTGGTCGTTTCCCAGAGCGACAAGTGTAGTGACCAGGGCGCTATCCTCTGTTTATTCTGCACTAATAGCAGATGACCACTAGTGGTGCAAGATTCACCAATGGGGCTCCTCCACGTCCTGTCGGCTAAAACAGGACAAATGACATCGTTGGGATCATGTGCATGGAACAACAGGTATAAAAGGACCCTTCTCCTCCAGAAGAAGGGATCACATTCTCTCAACTCAAAACCCTAATCACTTTATCCTCAAACATACACTAACTAGACCGTCGGAGCTTCGTCCCGGGACCACCTCCTGGACGTCGACTGACATTATCTCTTCATTGCTGTGATTACAAGACTCAACTCGACCGGAAACATCAAGTGACAGTGTTAAGTTCAAATCTCATATCACAACATTTAGCGTCATTCGAGCGTGTACTCAGAGTTACACAGCCTTGATACGACTCTAGACGTCGGTGATGACGGGAAAGGGACCTATGAGCATTCGACGGAGGAGAGACGAGCCGACTCAAATCCATGTCGTCGCTCGATGGCACGCAAGCATCTGCATCAGAGGGACAAGCCTCCACCCAAACGACAACAACACAAGTACCAGGTTCCACAACGAAAAGTGTCACCTTCACAGGAGTCCAACCCTCATCCTTCATCGACACAACAACTCAATACCCATGCATAACAGTCGCAAGGGTCGATCATGTACATGATTCAGCAGTCGGGATCGAGCTCACAACTGTAGCAAAGCATGCAAACAAGCTCACAACAATAACCGTACATCTCACAAGCACCGATGTACAATCAAGCGTACGACAACCCATATTACGCCCAACAATTGATAATGTACGGTGGTTTTCCATATCCTCACATGGAAAATCCGATAAGGAACACTAGCTCTGCTTTCTGCCAGGAACCTTGCAGTATGAGATGCCACACTCGACGATGATACCAAACATTTCAAAGTATGAAAATATGACGTCGGGAAATGCAGGAAAATGGTTCAAGGCGCTGCGACCTGGCAACATCTCGAGTTTCGAACAGTTATGTGTAACATACACGTTCAGTTATCGTGTTATGTAATTTTAAAAGTGAAGTATAATGAAATATTATATGAATTTGAGCGTTGAGTTCTAACATATAGTTTTTACTAGAAATAAAGTAAAACTATGTTTAGAATCGTTCGGAAATATTGGAAGTCTTATGAGATTCCAATCAAAAGTCAAATATTGAAATTTAACGAAAATATAAAATTTGAAATAAGTAAAAATAATGTTATTGAAAGTTGTAAAGAATCTCGTTAGAAATGTTTAGGCGAAAAGCTCATCGAAATCTGAGTTATAACGAAGAAGTTATGACTTATTGAAGTTTCGCGACAGAACCGGCACGACGCCGTATGACGTAAAAAGTGAGTTTTCGATAAACTACTTTTTAGCTTTAGTGATCTAAACGAAAGTCGTAGTATTCGTTAAACCGAGAATTTTCATAAAAAGAACGTCCAAATCTGACTTCGTATGAGGAAGTTATGATTTTTCTGAGTTTCGGAATAGCAGTAGACAGCTAAAAATTCGAAATAAAGATCGAGTGATTTTTAGCCAACGCAACCTAAACGAGAATCGAAGGTCTCGTCAATAGTAGTACAACGGTAAAAAGACAGAAGAAAACGGACGTCGGATGAAGAAGTTATGAATTTTTAACGGACTTTTCTTGTCTCGGCCCGTTAAAAATTATAACATTAAAAATAAAGTCAAAATTAGCCGACGGAATCTAAACGAAAGTTGTAGAATATAATCTCACCTACACGTAGATATAAAGAACGTCAAAAATTGAGCTCATACATAAAAGATATGAATTTTTGAAGTTTTTAAATAAAAATAAATGAAAATTCAAAGCCTTATCCGAAGAGTACGCCCAGCGTACTTCGTATATATGCGACCCATAGTCGGCCACGTCCTTTTCTCTTCGCACGAGGCACACGTATCGGATAAGACAGCCACGTCCGAGCCCGAGTCCCGATCTGATGACACATCACATATACTCCCCGCGTACGAGGACTACGCCCCGCGTAGATGGCCGCCTCGCAGTACGCCCGGCGTACCGAGGACTTACGCTTAGCGTAGTCGGCCGCTTAGGTCCCCTATAAATAGAGACCGAGGGTCTCCGAATTTATGTTACATTTTTTGATCTCTTTCACCCTCTTTCACATTTTTAGCCCACTTTTAACCCTCCGAAGTCCCGGTATCATTCCCGACACCCGAAGCAAGCCCCGACGCTCCGAAATTCCAGAGAAAATTATATTTACAAGCCGAAACTCTGCCCGTGTAAGACTGGTTTTCAACTAAAATCCCCAGTTTCATCGCAGAAAGTCATATTTAGAGCCGAAGTGCTGCCCAAAATATCATTTATTCCTTCGGTTATTTCACGGTGAGTTTAATATATAGAAACAATTGTATGTTATGTGTTATATGTTCAATGTGCTTTCCCATATTATTATGATAATGAGTTATACCTTAGACCACGAAGTGTATGACATAAGCATCACTTGGGTACAGGTATGTAGCCTCTGGCCGTGTAGAGCATGTCTCGTAAGAGAATGACTTCTACCATTATGGCATTGGCAGAAGGCTAGGCAGGGCTGAAAGCCTATAATTTGCTAGCCAAAATGTTTATTCAGAAATTGGTTATTTTTCCATGCCATATGGGCAAAAGTCTTATTGATGTATATTAAGTATTGAAATTGTTATGTCTCATTGATTGTATATCTTTGAATCAAATTATTCGTTGATATGGAAAGCATGTCATATGATACTCATCTGCCTTTGTTGTTCTTTGTACCTCTTTGCTTCTGTCATATTGATATGTATATGGCATAACGTTATATTGTATCTATTATTGAACTCACTAAGCGTCACCGCTTACCCCTCTCAGTGTTTAACAATTGCAGGTAATGAGAATCCATTATAGTCATATACTGTTGGAAGATTTAGAATAGTTTATACTATTACTTTTGTATTTGGGTTTATGTTTGTATAAAAAATTATAATATCATGGGTAGTTATGTAATATACTAAAACTTAGTCGGTTTGTATCCAGTCTTTTGTAATCACACTATCAATGTAT